AAAAAAAAAAAAAAAAAAAAAAAAAAAAAAAAAAAAAAAAAAAAAAAAATCAACCTATGGGCCGGTCCTTCCCGCCCGTCGGGGGGGGGGGGGGGGGGGGGGGGGGGGGGGGGGGGGGGGGGGGGGGGGGGGGGGTAACATGCTGCGACCTTTAGGGGGATGAGGCCGCTTTGCAGGTTGTTACCGTTGTTGACAACACAAAATTCATCAATGGACTGCAGAAGCCATCGCTCTGTACCTCGAGGAACTTAAAAAGATGGGAGTATTCCGCCAATAGATTCAATACTTGCATGGTTTTTTTTTCCGCACTTAAAATGTGCTTCTTCCCTCGCGCTGCTGCGCCTGATCATTCATTCCTCCACTTCAACATGTTCCTGCCATCTGTCTCCGCTACACTTGTCAGAGATGCTTGACACGTCAGACTGCATATCAATGACGGCCGACGCCTGCAAAAGAAGACCGACAACAAGAAGACAATCACACTGTGAGGATAAGCAACAAAGAATGCTTCTTTGATCCAAGCCTTGGGGGACAAAGAATTTTAGTGTTCGTGTGTAGATTATATAGTTATTTCTCGTAGCCGAAGCCGGGTAAGGGGCCCGGTATCTCAAGGATCTTTCCGCAAATTTCTCATAAATTTCTCATTTTCAATATGATTTTGAATGGGACGTTGGGCCCGGTTCCCAGCACGTGCTGCTTCCCACGAATAGATTGGAGCCTCTCCCTTTTTTTTAAAAAAAAAAAACAAAAAAAGCAACAAAGTTGAACAAACCAATGTCAAACATGCAGGATGGGAGAGTTTTTTTTTTTTTTTTTTTTTTTTTTTTTTTTGGCCCTTTTCTCAATTAATGCATGTCATCCTTGTGCAGGGGCCGTGCTAATCTTCTGTATCGTTCCAATTTTAACGGATGTCCCGAGGGACAACAAGATGGGAGAACATAATGTGCCCCACAAGTCGAAAAAATGGACAAACTCAAATCAGGTGAACAAACGTCAACAGTTGACTGAACTTGACTCAAATGGAGGAAGTCAAAGGAGGTGAACAAAGGTCAACAGTTGACTCAAATGGAGGAAGTCAAAGCAGTTGGTCAACAGTTGACTCAAATTGAGGAAGTCAAAGCAGTTGAACAAAGGTCAACAGTTGACTCAAATGGAGAAAGTCAAAGCAGTTGGTCAACAGTTGACTCAAATGGAGGAAGTCAAAGGAGGTGAACGAACGTCAACATTTGACTGTCACCACGCAAATGTAGAAACACAGACAGAATCAATCAGACTACAACCAGTGAAAATCCACTGAATACAGAGATTTGGTTCTCAACTTCTCCTCACTCAATTTTTTTTTATTTTTTTTTTGAGGATTTTACTATTTTTACTTGATTTCTATCATTTGTTCGCTCAGTTAGGCAGCCTTATCTGTCCTTCGTCCTTTGGGACATCTGTTAAAATTGGACCGATACACAGAAAGAAGATTCGCATGACCCCTTGCCCCCTGTGCAAGGATGACGCACACAAATCACCAAATGGAAAAAAAAAAAAAAAAAAAAAACACAAGGGTAGCTAGCCTTATCCATACATGCTCCAAAACACCTAAGGGCCTAAGGCTACGCTTCAAAACAGCTAAGGGCCTAAGGCTACGCTCCAAAACACCGATGTTATATTCATGCTTGGAAATCATGAACCGCGGAACCTGGACCCCAAATTTGGTCAGTTACGCTTTTGCAGTGCAAACATATAGCACACGTGCCGTGAGCGGCGTGAGGCCTGTGGCCAAAAGCCGTAAGCACCTTGAACCGGCCCCATCAGTGGAGGTGCAGATATCCCCTGTTGCATGTGGTCATTCTGTCTTTTATGTGCTTTTCTGTGAGCCACAGGATAATTACCCCTACTAACTTTCCCTGGCCTTTTCAACATAAAGTGAAACGCAGGAGAAGGATTTAGGGTGGTCAATAGCAATAACAAAAATGCAACTGAATCTGACTGCAGATCTGGTTACAAACATCGATAAATAGTCCTGCTATCCATTAGCAACTTAGCAACCAAGTCGTTAACCACATTTCCAACTGTGATAGCTGACGGTGGTGAAACGGTGAAACCTCCTCCATATTTCTGTTTGTTTGTTTTTTTAACTAATAATAAACCCCAAGGCCGCTCCTAAAAAGTCTTCTAACCTGACACATGGCCTCGTCGTGGAGTGTAAGAAAAAGGTTTTAGATTTTTGAGTAAGGAAATGAAAACCAAAGAGTTTGACAAACAAACCTTCTGAAAGGAGGCAAAAGGTAAACTGCTACTGTCTTCTCCGATGGCCAATGTGGTTGCGCTTACTCCCGCTGGGCCAGGCATGGAAGTCTCTCCAAACACACCATCATGAAAATCAACCCAATCATCATCCACATCTGCAATCAAAACGATAAACACCAACAAAACAAAACAACGTTAGAAATTCTCTCTCTCTCTCTCTCTCTCTCTCTCTCTCTCTCTGTCTCTGCACCAGCAGGTCCATTCGCCACAGCTGCAGGCCCATTTCCACATCTCACAGGTCCAGGTCGCTGAGGTCGGTATGTTCAAACCATCTCTCTCTCTCTCTCTCTCTCTCTCTCTCTCTCTCTCTCTCTCTCTCTCTCTGTGTGTGTGTGTGTGTGCACCAGCAGTGCAGGTACTAGTGTTCAAACTACGTCTGGTGTCAGGTGTCAGACTGCTGAGACTGGATCATCCGATCAGGCACGGGACTGCACATGCCGGGGTGGCGGGGCGGGGGCACCTGTCCTTACTGGCTCTCTATATTTAGGTGCGAGATCCAAATGAATCAGTAATGAGTTCAATTCCTGGAGATTCAATATGCAATAGCAGCAATACGTTGCAGGTCACCGCCTGTACTAAAGGTTGTTAAAACGTTTTTTGACCTTTTTCTTTTAAAGAATAAATTTAAAAAGAAAAGAAGGGTCAGGCCTAAGGTTTAACCCGGTAAAGTAGCGACCCCGAGTTTGAAATTGATCCTTGGGAGGTTCTTTAGAGTCCCATGTCCCACTCTGAACCGGGTCTGGTTTAGGGACCCAGGTCCTCCAAAAGGAGGTACAAAGAGTTATGGAGGCTCAACCCTCACAAAAATGGGACCCAGTTTATTTAGAGTTCAAGCCTGGCCCGCTGCATCTCAAGCCCGTCTTCCCCTGAATATAATGGACAGTCGCTAAATGTGAGTTACGTCACTGAAGGGTCGGTGCATATTCATACTATTCAAGTCTAGATACAGCCATCATGATAGTAATATATCCTATTCAGGTGCATACTGAAGGAACGGTTGAGGGTCAGAATTTCAACCCACATGTCAAGGTGGGATAAGCTTAGGCGACAAAATGGCTGTGGAGGGATTACATTGCTTATGCTACTGAATCGTACTGATGATGAAAATAGCTTAGTAGTTTTGTAACGTGACAAGGTGTTAAAACTTAAAAGTTGATGCAAGGGTTCATACTACTTCATACTACTTCAGTCGAGACATTGGCCGTTGGCACCCTGAACTACCGTCTTCATCCGAATAGAACGCCCGGTCATTATAGCTGTACTTGGCACGACTTTCAGACCAGATACGGCGATAATTGCCGTGCGTTCTATTCGGGTGAGGACGGTAGTATCCTGAACCTGACTGGCAGTAAGGGCCAGACCCCGGTGTCAGTGACTCAGTGGTGCTCCGTTTGTGCTTGGAAAGCATGCATTTGGTCATCATCATCACCACGTTCATGCTTTGTTAGCACGAACCTAGCACCAGGCTCAGCAGGCTGACCTGGCCCTTAGACTACTCCCTGCCTGGGCAGCTCATCTCACAACCAGCTCGGCGCTCGCTACTCTGCGCATTGCTCAAATGCCTGACCATGGTTAAGCCCAAGCATACTAGCCAACTGGGTAATTCCATCGCGGCCATGTTGGCGATGATGCCGCTACGCTACACTGTTGGGTCGCGCGAACCTCTCTCAGGAGAGAGAGAGAGAGAGAGAGAGCATTAATTCTGGGGAGACTGGGGTAGCCAAAAGGCATCGCAGATCGACTGAACGCACCCACGTCAATGTTGAGAGAGAGAGAGAGAGAGAGAGAGAGAGAGAGAATTAATTCTGGGGAGACTGGGGTAGCCAAAGGCATGGCAGATCAACTGAACGCACCCACGTCAATGTTGCCCTCCTCCACGTCTGCATCGATTGCTGCCTGGAGTCTATCCTCCAGGGGCATACTCCACAGCTCATCAAATCCATGGTCATGGCTGCTGCGTTGCGAAAGGTGACTTGATGAAACCCTTTTTCTTGAGACCAATCCCAACCCCAGTCGGGATCCCACTCTTCGTCCCGGCGCTGATCCCAACCGTGATCGCTCTGAAGTGGGATCGACTCCAATCCGTAGTACATGTTTCTTCTCAATGACTTTCACAAAGTTCCTTTCTGGTTCAGAATCTTCCCTTAACATCTCCACCACACGCCGCACACGGTCCACAGACTCCACACCCATACTGGTTGCTGCTGTCGCAAGGCATTCCATTGCTTCTCCTTCTGGTGCAGCTCCTGCTCCTGCTCCTGCTCCAGCTCCAGCTCCAGCTCCAGCTGCTGTTCCTGTTCCTATTCCTGGTCCTGCTGCTGGTCCTTCTCCTGCTAACATTGTCATCTCCACCACACCCAGACTGGTTGCTGCTGTTGCAAGGCATTCCATGGCTTCTTCTTCTTCTTCTTCTTCTTCTGGTGCTGCTCCTGCTCCTGGTCCTGCTGCTGGTCCTGGTTCTGTTCCTGTTCCTGGCCCTGATGTTGGTCCTTCTCCTGCTAACATTCTGTATGAAGGGTGATCCAACATTCTGTAAGTCACTTGAGACAACATTGAAAGGCAATCTACCTCTTTTGTCATTTCTCCTTCTTCAAGTTGATGATGTCCCATCTGGCAGGTAGTAGCAGTATCTACTGGAGACTGACACGTGGCAGAATTGAATTTCGCAACCAGCTCAATCTTCAGTTCTCCATTGATAGACCGCTTGCCGCAAAAAGAACGCCGCCTCGGCGAAGGAACTGGGCGTGGTGGTGCTTTTCCAAATCTCATTCGCTGAAATAGTGACTGCGAACCGCGTCTCTTCCTAGCAGGCCATCTGAGCGCTAATCCATTCACTGCTGCGGGCATCGCACAGAGATGGATGGAAACATGATTTCAAAAAAAGAAAAGAAAAAAAGAAAAGAAAAAAAGAAAAGAAAAAAAGAAAAGAAAAAAAGAAAAAGAATGGCAACTTGCGACTAGTCATGAGAACTTTGAGAAGTAATTCGGATCAGAAGAAAAGAGGTGCTTGAGCTGCGTTTTGAAAAATAAAAAATAAAGGACCAAATAATACAATGAGGCACAAGAAAAGTTAGAAAACAGTTTTTTTTTTTGTTTTTTTTTTTTGCACCTTTTGCGAAATAAAAGAAATTTAAATGCAATATTCCAGAGGGAAATAGTTCTTCTTGCCTTTTTTTTTGTTTTTCTGAGTACTATTTTCTTCTTCTTTTTTCTTTGCGTTCCTCTGAGCAGTTGTTTCCTTTTACTTGTTTTTAGTTTTTGCCATTCTCTGTGCACTTTCCCCCTTTAACAGCCATTTCATTCAAACAGACATTTTATATTTCCTCAAGTTCTCAAACCTCATTAGTCATTAATAATTAATAATTATTTATTTGTCCCTGACACTGTCACCGTCTGGAAATGCTGGACCCCCTTGGATGCATCTGCATTTCAGCCAAGTCCAGACGGACCCTCAGGAACTAAAACTGTGACCCTTAGGCACAATAGCTAGCATGTGCAGTAGTAGGGGGAATCATCTTGGGGTTGTGTGACAGTTACTATGAATAATAGGGGGCCCATTTGAGTAATTGTGTGTGACCCTCAGGTAGGGCGGGAACGGGAAATTAGGACGGGCTGCGATGGATTGGATGGGACTTGGGGGACACTGCGACAGTGATGGGGTTGGGACTCGGGACTCAAAAATTTGAAAAATGTCGAAAAATGGATTGCTGCAGTAATGGAGTGTGGGGGGGGAGGGGAGTGGGTGGTAGGAGTGGGTGGTAGTGCCTACGGAGGTATATGTACACGAGCCGAAGCTTAGGGATTTGTGGTTGTAATATGCCTGAGGGGAGAAAGGTGCGTCGATAGGATGTCACTGATTGATAGGATTGTAGGCGATAATCTGGAGATTCAATGCATCTACTACATATATGTTGTCGGGATAGACAGTCCAACACGGACTTTTTGCCACGACTGAGCTCTGTAATTGTGGTCAGATACATCCGGATAATACTGTAACTGAGGCCACATACATCCTGCAAGGCACTGGTCTGAATGTGGCCAGAATGAATCGGAATGAACCAGGAACTTTTTTAGTTGTAGAAAACTCTGCAAACGTTAGCTAACCTCAAAAACGTCGACCGACCCTCAGAAACGCCAGGTTGGACCTCCAAAATTGCCAAACCTGGGATTTTTTTTTTTTTTTGCCAAACCTCAGAAAACGTCCACCCTCAAAAATGCCGAGATCGCGACAAAGTAAGTAAAATGGGTAATGAAACTGAAATTATTATCCAAACATACGATATTAAGGAAATGTTTACTATGATCCCACATGAGGAAGTCAAGAGGGCTGTTAATTGGATCATGGGGGAATTTCGGGGAAAGGGTAAGCATTGGATTCGGATCAAGATCAGAGGAAAAGGAGCAAAATTCAATAAAGCTGCTAATGAAGGTGGTTGGAAATCAATTAGACTATCGGATTTGGAAAGGATGGTGGATTTTTTGTTGAAACATGTTTTCTTTCGGTCACTGGATGAAATTCTGAGACAACATATTGGTATTCCAATGGGAGGGCACGCAAGCCCAGTATTGGCATGCTTGGTATGTATGTTTGCAGAAAACAGATTTGTTAAAGGTCTGGGGAACGAAAGAAGACTGGTAAGTGGGAAAAGGTTCATTGATGATCTGCTGTTAATTACATGGTACAAAAAGAAGGACAGGAAGCAAGCAAAAGAGAGACTAGAAAATATCTTGAACTGTTACCACGAAAAGCTAAGATTACAACGTACTGATGATGGGAACAATATTGCAGATTTTTTGGAAACAAGATCATAGTAACAAACAATCCTAGCCGGATACTAAGTGCGCACAGGTTTAAAAACTTCGAAGGCATTTGGAACAGAGGGGAGAATAAAATATTCACAACAAAAAGTTTTGAATCGCATGGCTCAACAGAACAACAGATGGCATTTATTATCTGGACTATGCACCGATTGAACGCAAACACTTCAGAACCAGCGATGCTGGTAATTGACATGTTAACCTTTCACAGGGAGCTTTGCGCGCAAGGATTCCCGAGTTATATGTTTGTGGAAGCAGCAAGGAAAGTTGCAAAAAGGGTGGGAGGAAGGGTCTGGTATGAGATGGCTACGCACCTGGGACTACTGTACGGAGTGCAATACAGAAAGGCGGCAAACGGTAGCGCGGTGAGAACCTGAGAAGTGCCACATCTACTGTCCAGGCAGGAGGAAACGCCGAGTGCAAGAGATGGGATTCGTATCAGCCTCAAGAACTGATTCTTCGAAGTCTTGGTACTAGTGACGTACGCTGGCACTAAAAGCCGACAGTATGAAACGTGAACCTGGCACTATACGACGAAGCTCGTGCGGCCATCTGATCGAGACCTCGGGGTGTTTTTCACGCGGTGAAACTCTCACCGTACTTAGTACAAAGTAGAAGAAATCAAACCTTTATTTATTTATTTATTCGGCGTTCACGCGGTGAAACTCTCACCGTACTTAGTACAAAGTAGAAGAAATCAAACCTTTATTTATTTATTTATTCGGCGGGCCTATGCAGGTCTGCTGGAGCAGGTCTGAAATAGGCGCTAAAAGTTTTTTCAAACGTTTTCTAGAGGTACTCGTGAGTTCGCGAGGCAACATTTTTACTACTTATAGAAAGGCCGAGGGCGTACTCGGCAGCGGTCTGAGCGAAACTGGGGTAGAAGGACTGTCTGGGCGTATGGAGCGCCGAGTTACAATGCAATTCGTTTCGTGATAAGTAAACTCCAAATTACATTGTTTTTACGAATTCTCTTGCAGGCTGATCTTTTTTTTCTTTTTCTTTCTACCATTTCTCGATTTATGCTTGTCATCTTCGCTCAGGGGCTATGCTAATCTTTTTTCTCAAAAAATGAAAAAATAAAAATAAAATTTTTTTTCTCTGTATCGTTCCAATATTAACGGATGTCCCGAAGGGACCGGACGCTGATCTTGGGTGAACTAGGACAAGGTTTGCTGTGGGAAAAAAAGCAGGGAAAAAAAACAACAACAACAACCAAGGTATGAGCCTCGCCCCACCACTAGCCGAATGTGATGAAGAAGCAAAACAAAATGGCGAAGGTTTTTTTTTTTTTGGTTTTTTTTTTTTTTGGGGGGGGTGTATCTTTCCACGTTCTAGCAGAAGATACATTGGCCGTTTCAGACGTGGAGGTTAGTGCAGCGACCCTCTGTGTCCCTTCGGTACTGGGAAGAGTTAGGGCCTCGCTCCACTACACAACACTATATGTATCTGAGCTCATACTCGTCCCGATAGTTCAAATTGTTGTACACGTACGAATGCACCTGGTCGAGAAAAGCGTCCAAATGCATGTACAATGTTGAGTAGTGAGGCCTTTAATCTGAAAAAAGAGCGGTAGTAGAGATCTACAAAGACACACAACCCTCATAGCTAAGCTAAAAATTGCCGAGGTCGCGACTTCTAGTCTGATCTCGACTGAATGTATCTGACTGTTTTCAGCTCCAGATTCATTCAGCATGGTACGCACAACAGGACACCCATCATCTGTGGAAAGGTAGCGGAGCACCGCATACCTGACCTGGAAAACGCCGAGATCGCGACTCTATCTGCGACCATAAGGACCTTAACTGAATGTATCTGGCCGTAATTAACGTCAGAGTCACTCGGCAGCATACGCACCGTCGGTCACCATCATTCAGTCCTTGAGTCCTTGTCTAACCATGATCTGAGGAATCGCACGTTTTCCTCTGCGACTAACGCACATTAGAGAAGGCCAAAGCTTGAAAGCTTTCCTTCGGGACATCCATCCGTTAAAATTGGAACGATACAAAGAGAGACGTTTTTTTTATTTTTTTATTTTTTATTTTTATTACAAGAACAACTATTTTAGAGGCCGCAAAGAGAGAATATTAGCATGGCCCCTGCGCAAGGATGACACGCATAAATCGAGAAATGGTCCAAAAAAAAGAAACAAAAAAAAAGCACACCAAAGCTTGACAGCTGATTTTGGTCGAGATTTTCGGTCGGATACATCCAGCCAAGTTCTTCTGTCAGCACAAGCTAAGGCGCACATGTTCCTTACCAAGTTACCACTCCCTCTTTCTTTTTTTTCTTTCTTTTTTTTCGCTTTTCCTAAAGCATCATACAGATTCACGAACTTCCTGCCCCCCCCCCCCCCCCCCCCAAAAAAAAAAAAAAAAAAAAAAAAAAAAAAAAAAAAAAAAAATTATTTATTTTTAAAAAAAATTTAAAAAAGGGAGAAAAAATTTTTTAAAAAGGGGGGGGGAAACCTTTTTTTTTTTTTTTTTTTTTTTTTTTTAACGGGTAATTATTTAAGCCCAACCAATTCAATTACCTGTCAAATCTGGACAGGACGGCCTTTCAAGCCTTTTTTATTGCCATTATATGATTATAGTATTACGGGGAACCCCGTAGCAGCCACAAAAGGCCCACAATCCGTGCTCAAGGTGCAGCTCCCGCATGTTCCCTCGTTGGAGGCTTGAGCACGCTGTGGAAATCTCTCTGGAAGACAGATGTGTCACTGATAAAGATACTACTATTAAATTGTGAAAACGATTTTTTTTATTTTTTTTTTAATTGTGAAAACGATTCTTCTCTCCCTAGTGCTATAGAAATCCCCAAGTGGGTTGTCCTTTTTTTGGGACATTCGTTTAAACTTGAACGATACACAGTGAGAAGAATCGTTTTCACAATTAAAAAAAAAAACTGCGCAGACGGATGATATGCAGACATCAAGAAATGCCCCAAACTTCAAACAAAAAAAAGCAAAAAAAAACAGAAAACAACAAAAACTCCCCTTTGGATTCACAGTCACAAAAAACCCGAAAGGGTCATTGTCAGAATTTGGAGGACACGAAGCCTGAGTGCATCGCGTAGCCTTTACGGCATTAAGTTACCTGCGCGTTTTTATTTTATATATATATTTTTTTATTACTACAAACTTTCGTCGCCGCTCGAAACTTACTGCATGCTTCACCTGATGAGAACAGTCCAGAAGTATCCGGGCCCGGCAGGCTGTGTTTTTTCCCGCCTATGCACTTCGGTTTTGAACAAAATATAGGCAACAATGTGGCAACATGAAGCAACGTACGTCTGTTTTTTTTTTTTTTTTTTTTTTTTTTTTTTTTTGAGAACACGGCTCCAATCTATTTGTGGGGAGCAGTACGTGCTGGGAACGGGGCCCAGCATCTTCTCTGTATTTACTATTTACGATTTACTATTTACTATTTCCGTGTATAGAGTCTGACACCTGCCCGGTGTTGGAAGGTGAAAAGGAGAAGTGACATAAGCTTCGAATGGAAGCCGGTTTGAAAACAAAAAGGAACTGAAAAAGAGAGAGAAAAAGTTGCGCAGGTTCAGGGTAGGGCAGTTGGGATTCCAGCTGGAGAGGGCAGGTAGCAAGCCGCCGCACCTAAGGGTTAATGGGGCCAAGAGTATTCTGCACGGGGAGACTTTTACGGTACACAGTCTCACAGATGCATCACCCTCGGTCCCCCTGCGGTTCTCCGAGCAGCCCTTTCATTCGCATCAAGAATCGCCTACCCCCAAACGGGTACAATTTATTGGGCCGTTCCTCTTAAGGGGTGCCTGACCCTACAGTCTTCCCCCGAATACAACGCACGGTCATTATAGCTGTATTTAGACTGAAAGATAGACCAAATTCAGCTATAATGACCGTGCGTTGTATTCGGGGGAAGACTGTAGTAGGCGAATGCACTGTAGCCCAGCTGCTGGGTCAGATCTCTGCCTGTTGCCCGTGAGGCCGTGACCCACAGGCTATAATAACCGTGCGTTGACTTGGCCAGCGAACCGGACATCCTACGGAGCGGTCGGTGGGATGATTGCAGTTGTAAATTTTCCCTGAGCACAAGGATTCAACTTTCAAGCCTGTTTTTTTGCAAGGTGAGGGTCTGACGTCAGCCGTCCACCCGCTGGTCCTACGGCTGGAGAAAGAGGAGATGCTGCTGCTTGTGTCGTGTGCTTTGCCCCCCTGTTCCCCATGTGGCCCTCTGGCTATATCGAGTCCCCCCTCCCCCCCAGTAGTACTTTTTTTGTGGTTTCCTGCTGATAAGGGGGGGGGGGGGGGGGGGGGGGCTCGATATAGCGAGAGGGGGGATTCGTCAACCCCCTCCCTCCCTCTCCAACTTCCCCTCTTGAAAGTGTGTAAAGCCTCTGGCAACTCCGCTCGAGTCCCCCCCCCCCCCAAGTCATGTGCAAGAGAAGTTTGACGGCCCGGAAGGGGAAGGGGGTCATTTTCCCTCCCTCTCTCCACCCAAGGGTGGGACAAGTCCCACTTGCCCAGAGTCCCAATTGCAGATTGCCAGTTTCGGGAGTTGCTTTGACGTCTGGATGCTTCTACAAGAAACATAGAACCAGTCTGAAGGATTTTCTCGACTGCATGTGGCTGGAATTGCGGCCTGATACAAGTATGAAAGCCACTCCCAAAGATGTCACAGAGAGAAATGTTTCTCTTAAAATGTCGAATGCTTGTCGAAAGAGATGAATTTTCTTAAAGAAATATATTGCGAGTTGTTGCCAAACCGACTGCTGCATACTTTGCGCATGCATGCACGAGGTTCTGCACAAGTGAATGTGGCTTGAATTGCAGCCCGGTACACTTATGAATAGCACTCCGGAAGATGTCAGTGCATTTTTTACGAAGAGTCGCAGTCAACATTTCAGTCAAGCTTGTCATCCCGGTGACTTGCTGTTCATGTTTGTTTGTTGCTCCCTCAGTGTCTCCTTTTTTTTTTTTTTTCCAATTTGGATCTTTTCTCGATTTATGCGTGTCATCCTTGCGCAGGGGCCATGCTAATCTTCTCTCTCTGTATCGCTCAAATTTTAATGGATGTCCCGAAGGACCTCTCTGTGTCTAGTTATCTCCCTCTGTATCATTTTTATTTGTGGGTTAAAAATTGAAATGCAGTTTAATACACCCTTCCAAAGATAGCTTCTTTCTTTCTTTCCTTCTTCTTCTTCCTCTTCTTCTTCTTCTTCTTCTTCTTCTTTTTTTTTTTTTTTTTNAAAAAAAAAAAAAAAAAAAAAAAGGACAAACTTTTTCCAACCTGCTCCCATTTTGGGGAGAGTTATCGTCTCGCTGCACCCTTAGTCAACCACTCGCGTTGAAGTCAACTGAGTCAACTCCCTTTCTTTTCCCCTTTTTTTTTTGGATAAACAAACCGGTTTCGGAGTACTGCCAGCAGTGATACCAGCTGGCTGCTGCTGCCTACCGTCCTCACCCTAATAGAACGCCCGGCGGTCATCATAGCCGTATTTGGGGCAATTTTCAGTCCAGGTGCAGCCATAATGACCGGACGTTCTATTCGGGTGGAGAAGGTAGTAGGCTGCATCCGGTTGCTCAGCGGTCAACTCAAATCTTAACTGATCATACCGGTAGTCGACTGATTTGAAGTCAACGGACACTAATTTAGACTCAACCAACGCTACCTTAGTCGGCCAGTCTTGAGAAAAAAGATGAAGAGTCAAGTGATACTGAGTTCAAACCATCCCACCGTTTCCGCCGAATAGAACGCACAGTCGTTATCGCTGTATCTAGACGGAAAGACGGCCGAATACAGCTATAATGCCCGTGCGTTCTATTCAGGTGAAGACTGTAGTGTAGGGTCTACACTTATCTCGTCCAGAGTCAACTCAACCCAGTTCAGAGTCAACGAATCCTACCGTCTTCACCCGAATAGAACGCCCGGTCGTTATAGCTGTATCTGGACTCAAAATTGCACCAGCTATAATGACCGGCGTTCTATTCGGGTAAAGACGGTTGTAGTTCAAGGTTAACTCATCCAGGTCATCCTACCCGTCTTCCCCAGAATAGAACACACGGTATTTACAGCTGTTTTTGGGTCGACTTTCAGTCTAAATACCGATATAATCACCGGGCGTTCTATTTGGGTGAAGACGCTAGGATGATTAGCCTCCGGATTGGCACACGAGTTGACCCAAAATTCTCGGCCTTTTGGCTAAGATCAAGCGTGGTACCCGTTCTGATCTCTGCTCCGTGGCCGACTGGACCACATTAAAAAAAAAAAAAACCCGGCACGAACAGGAAAAAAGAACACAAAGATACCAATTTCCATCTTCAAGTTCTACCGTTCGACGTACACCAAAAGCTGAGGAAGTCTCAAAAAAAAAAAAAAAA